TTTGTGTGTGTGTTTGTGTGTGTGTTTGTGTGTGCGTGCGTGTGTGTGTGTGCGTGCGTGTGTGTGTGTGTGCGTGCGTGCGCGCGTGTGTGCGTGCGTGCGTGTGTGTGCGTGTGTTTGTGTGTTTGTGTGTGTGTTTGTGTGTGTGTTTGTGTGTGCGTGCGTGTGTGTGTGTGCGTGCGTGTGTGTGTGTGTGCGTGCGCGCGCGCGTGCGTGCGTGCGTGCGTGTGTGTGTGACAGTATGCTGCCATTATGTTGTTATTTGTTTACATTCCCAGATTTTAAACTGTATTTTAAACTTCATTTTAAACTTTATTTTAAACTCGATTCAACACTTCTTCTTCTTGATCACACAACATATTGCAACAACATCGTACTATGTAGCATGTACTGGATCTCGCTCTATTCTATCTAACTGTTGTTTGTCAACTGCCCCTGCAGAAGGCGTGCGGTACGTTGAAGGGCGTGGCCGCCCCGCCCGTCTCCCGGCTCTGCATCTACCGCTGGGCGCAGCAGGCATACGACACGCCCATGGACCACCCGATACTGCCGTTGCTATGGCAACGCTTCTTCTCGCTCTACCTGCAGCGAATACCGCAGGAGGCTCAGTGAGTGGTTGCTGGAAATCAATCATATACATATTTTTTTTTTTTAATCCTTTAGGTTCCTATAGGCTTAGATTCTGATTTTATTTCGTTGATATTTTAGCTCGTTAATTTGTAATCATGAAAACAATATGTGAAAAAAGTTAGATCTAACGATAAAAAGAAATTAAGGACGGTGCCTCGATTCCCTGAAAAAAACTACCCGAATCTGCATAGAAAAATGATCTTCTTCCCGCCTTTTCTCATTCGGCCATCTTGGACAACCGCATTCCTCCGTGTTTCCCCAGGTTGCCGGGGCGACCGGGCAACGGGCAGAAATTCTTCAAGGGCATGGCCAACTCAGCCTACATGAAGCGGCTGGGCAAGCGACTCAAGGACACGGCGCAGATGTACTCAAAGATGGCGGCCGAGAGCTCGTCGATCAGCGCCGCGCAGGACGGCGTAGGTGGCAGCACCGGCGTGCACGCGTCGGCGAGCGCGGACAGCGTCGGGAGCGAGTACGCGGCGGGGACGGCGATGTGCGACCGACTCTACAGGTGTGTGTGTGTGTGTGTGACCTTTATACACAGGTTTTGACCATAACTTGCAGTTTATTTAGCACTGTCTCTCTCTCTCTCTCTTTCTCTCTCTCTCTCTATCTGCATGACCTTTATACACAGGTATGACCGTTGCTTGCAGTTTCTTTAGCGCCATCTCTCTCTCTCTCTCTTTCTCTCTCTCTCTCTATCTGCGTGACCTTTATACACAGGTATGACCGTTGCTTGCAGTTTCTTTAGCGCCATCTCTCTCTCTCTCTCTCTATCTGCATGACCTTTATACACAGGTATG